GGGTGTCGGGTCGGAGAGCGCTCCCGGCACACGTGCGCGGAGGCCGAGCCGCTGCCTGGGCGCACGTCGGTAGTGCAGGCAGGCAGCTCGTATTTATAGCGCCGGGGGGAGGGAGCCGTCCGTGGGCAGGCGTCGGGAGGTGGTGAGCCGCGGGGTTTGATTTGCCGGGCTGGTGTCTCCGGCGCTGGGTTGGTGGTTGTAGGGGGGCCTCCCCGGGCAGACATCCCCCAAACCCTCCCCTCCTCTCCAGAGAGCCTGAAGCATCGGCCGCCGGGACCCGAAATCATGGGAAATGTGTTTGCTGCTGCCATTCCTCTGCCCGAGATGGCCTGGGAGAGAGCTAAACCTGCAGGCAGCATCTGGCAGGGCCGTGCAAGCAGTTGGGGAAACACAGAGTGACCGTCTCCGTGCTTTTATTTAAAACCTTATCTCTTAATTTTTGCTGTAGCTTTGCTTAATTTTCATTGCTGGGACAGGGCTGAGCGTGATGTGGCCTGGGACTGTCCTGGGATGCTGAGCTCCCACCTGCAGGACAGCACACAAGGTGCCAAACGGTGTGGGTAATCGTTAGGGTAGCACACAAGTGACTCATTAGTGACAGTCACCACTGTTGGTGGTTTTTTTTTTTTTTAATAGCTGAATTCCCTGCTCCCTTTTGACCTGGTTTCTATCTCATACTTGCAGAGAATGTGCAGGGAGCTGGGATGTTGTCAGGTGGTTCCCTTTGCAGGAGCAGAGGCTCTCTTTGTTTTCTTTTTCTTTTAATTTTTCTTTTTGCAATTGGTTTTGGGCCAGGTAAAGGATTATAAGCTGCCCACAGCTGCCTCTGGTGGGGCTGCATCCCTCCCATCCAGCCTGGCCCCTTCACCTGGGGCTGGATGTAGGTCAGTCAGGAGTGGGAGGTTAAGCCTGTGTCCTGCCCCACGTTGTTGGATCTTCTCTTAATCTTCTGCCTTAACTGGTGTGTAAGCCTCGGGCCACAGGAGCTGGGATTTATTCTGCTGACAGCTAGGTGCCGGCAGTAAGCCTGGACATGTGAATACCATGGAGGAAAGTATCTGCATAAATAAAGCAAACTGCCCTGTTAAAGTGCTGTCCTTGAGCTATTTTGGAGCATTGTGAAGGTGAAGGCTCTTCAGGGAGGTGCCTGACCACATCACCTTTTTCTTTCATTTTCTTCCAGCTTTGGTATATCTCCTAGGTTTTTTCCCTGATTTTCCTGTGAACAGAGAGGCTGAGCGTGTGCCGTCATGGCAGGTACGAGGGGGGTGGGGGTGTGTCTCTGTTGGGGCTATCTCTCGCCTCTGAAGCCTGTGTGGGGTTTTACTGGCTGTAATGTCACCTCGTTAGTCCCCGGTGGGGTTGTGGTTGTCTGTGCTTGTAGGATCCACGTGGCTAGAGAGGGCTAAATTTGTCTCAGTGCTTGTGGGTGGCTTGGTGGTGGTTACAAGGGGAAATCCTTAATTCCTGCATGAAACTCATCGATTCTTGGGGCTGAACAAGACTGAGAAGACTCTTGATTTACATTCAGCCCCTGTATAATGCCCAATGCTGGTGAAACTTTTTATTGCAGAAAAAGTGAACAACTTTCCTCCCCTGCCGAGGTTCATCCCTTTGAAGCCATGTTTCTACCAGGACTTCGATGCGGAGATCCCACCGCAGCACCGTACCATGGCCAAGCGGCTTTACTACCTCTGGATGCGTGAGTTGCTGGGCAGGGAAGGGCTCGGGTGGGTTTGTATTTGCATCTCCTAAGGCTGCTTCTCTGGAAGGCACCAGTTGGAAAAGCAGAGCAAGATCAGGGGAAATCCTTCTGCCTCTCCAGGCCTTGGTGTCTCCTATTAAAGCCTGTTGGGGTTGAGATGAGGGCTGCAGCATCCTGTGGACTTCAGCCCTTCCAGCCTCCAGGGTGGAGGTGTGGAGCTGGCTTGGTGACCTTGATGTCCTGCTGGAGCCCACTGTGAGGAGATGGCTCAGCACCTACACGTCGTCCTGCCGAAGGATTTACTCCCTTCTTCATCTCATTTGGCTGCTGGCCTCGTCCTGCTGGAGAGCTGCTGCTGGGTTTCTTTGGCAGCTGGGCTAGGGAAAGGCTTTCTCTGGCACCCCAAGCTCCTTGTGAGCCCTTGTGCAGCGGCCCAAGAATGAGGCGCTGTTTGGACTGGAGGGTCAGGGTGCCTGGTTCCCAAAACAGGAGAGCCCAGGGCTTCCCCAAAGCTGGGTCTTGCCTGTTCCTCTTGCATGCCTCTGTGTGCCGTGCTGTGCTAACAGAGCTGTCACCGTCTTCTCACTCTTAAACTAGCCTGGATCTCTCTTGCTTACCAACCCTGGGTGGGGAGAAGAGCCGGGGGTGACAGATTGTGCCCGACGTACGTGGAAACCTTACTGACGATGATGCTAATTGCTGCGTGCGGCTCAGGGCAAGCTGGCACCACCGCTTTATTTTTATTTAGAAGAACTTGGTTCTTTAATCAGATGTTTCCCCTGAACTTTGGAAGCATATCAGTGCATAGGGAGTGGCCTGTGTTTCAGAGGCAGGTTATGAAGAGCTGAGCTGGCATTGGTGACGTCAGGCATTTCTGCTTTTGGCAGGATGCCAAGCTGACACCCCAGGGCAGTGTCTTGCTTTGGCTTTTGGGGACTGTGTCCCCTTGGGGTGGTGACCCTAGGGTAATGTCCCCCGTCATGTCAGGAGAGTTAGCAGAGCTTTTCTATGAAAGGGGAGGGAAAAAAAAAAAGTTGTACTTCTCTGGAGAAGCTGTCTTGGGAGTGTTAAATCCCCTCCCCATGTCAGTCTGGCTGTTCTTGCTCTGCCTGATTTAACAGACCTCAGTTCCTGCTCCAGCTTCTCCCATAGCATAAGCACCAGCTCCCTGAGCCAGTCGCCCGTCTGTTGGTTTCTGTGTCTGGAGCTCCTCTCTGGATCATTTTCTTCCCAACTCCCCCGCAAACACCCAGTCAGATGCAAGCACAGGGAGACTGAAAGGTTCCCTCAGTGTCCTTGGGGCTTTAGGGAGCAACGAGTGCCCGGCCAACTGAGCTCCCTTTCTTGCCAGCTGCAGCTCTCATGCGGGCGGCGGTGGGAGGGTTTTAATTCTCGTCAGAATAATGAATCATTCTCAAAAATCGGAGGCGTCAGAATGCAAATGAGCCTTCTCTGCTTTGTCCTGTGTCTGCTAAGCTGGGCTTCATAGTAATAGCCCTTGTATCGCTTAACCCCGAGCAGGGGTGGGACGGGCGAACATGCAACCCCAGTGAACTGGCGAGGCAGGGGCCCCAAGTTCAGGACTTCAGCTGTTAGCTTGGGGATGTCGTGCACAACCTCCTTAGGCGAAGCTGTAGCTGGAGGCAAGCAAAAAAGTTCACTTTGATTCCTCCAGTATCTTTCTGCTGGGGAAAATGTGCCCTGGCTCACTGGCAGCAGGAGGATATGGCTTTTCCCTGTCCTCGGAGCCCCACGAATCCTGGACCTGCTTAAAACATTACAACTCTGAATGATATATTTATTTTTGTCTCCTTCTGCTCCTCAGCTGATATTGGATCCCCTTTGGCTGAGCCAGCCTGGGGATGCTCTGCAGACTCAGCCAGCTTAAGTTAAGGGAAATCTAGCTAGGGTAACATGCTGCTGGCCAAACCTGCTGGAGGTCAGCTCCACACGGGCATCCCTGGGGTCAGGGTCTCTCATATCTCGCCAACGTTCTTGCATACGTGCTACTGTGCTCCCTCTGTGTGTGTGTGTGTTTGCAGTGAACAGCATCACTTTGGCGGTGAATCTCGTTGGCTGCCTCGCATGGCTGATTGGAGGCGGTGGAGCTGTTAATTTTGGACTGGCAATTCTCTGGCTCATTCTCTTTACGCCCTGCTCCTATGTCTGCTGGTTTAGACCTATTTACAAAGCTTTCAAGTAAGTGGTCACACCTGAGCCTGGCTTCTCATGGTCTTTTGTTTGTTTTTCTTCCTAAACAGCTAGTGCTTAGCTTGGGCCACTGCCTGAATATTTGGGAGAATTTCTGCTCTTTCTGTCCAGCCCTTTAGCTATACTTTCTAACCTTCAAAGCAAGGGTGTTTGGGATTCCCCAAGGGCCAAAACCCCAACCCTGTGATTTAAAGACACCCTACATGTGGCTCTGTGCAGCGCGAGGGGGAGCGGTGTTGTTAAGGTGCCAACTTTCCCTTCCCTTCTGTCCATCCTTGAGGCTTCTTTTTATATTTTTCCATGAGCCCTCAAGGTGCTAATTGAATATTGATTATCCATGCTGCTGAGGTCAGTTCCCAGTGCAGTATCACCAGATCTAGAAAACCAGGGGTTTATTTCTTCCCCACGCAGAAAGGTTGAGTCTGGGGGTGGGCTGAGCTGAGAGCCATGCCCCAGCAGGGATGCCGTCTCGCCTGATGGGTTGAGCTGGCCGAGCTGTGGGAAGGGTCTGATGCCCCGTGGCTTTCCCAGGTGCCCCTTCACCACCTTCAGCCTCTCGCAGTTTCTCCCTCACGTGTGATTTTGCTCTGGTGCCTGCTGTATGCAGGCAGCTCTGCTTCTCACCACCCTCTTGCTAAAACACAGCTGCTTGTGCCCCAAAAGGGTCTGAGATGTGGGAGCATCTCCCTTCTTTGACAATGCAGCAGGGATTGAGACATAGGGAGTGACTGAGCCTTCTCTTGCAGGACAGACAGTTCCTTCAGCTTCATGGCCTTCTTCTTCACCTTCATGGCCCAGCTGGTGATCAGCATTATCCAGGCAGTGGGAATCCCTGGCTGGGGTGTCTGGTAAGGAAGTTGCTGCTCTTGTGCAGAATGCAAGGACGGTTACTGTTGCGCTGGTGCTGTGGTCTCTTGGTGTTTTAATATCCCCAGTGCTTCAGTAGCTTCTCTCCTCAGGGAAGGTGGTTTGAGGAGCTGGGAGAGTGTAGGGGAGGGATGCTGGCAGACTGTGGTGTGCAGAGCCAGCCGGGAAAACCCCGGGCTGCTGAATGGACTGGTTGTTTTGATCTCCTTGCAGTGGCTGGATTGCAGCGATTTCCTTCTTTGGGACCAACGTGGGGTCTGCTGTGGTGATGCTGATCCCTACTGTCCTGTTCACTGGGATGGCAGTCTTCTCCTTCATCGCTCTCACCATGGTATGGGAGGAGAGGGGGCGCTCTGTTGCTTCAGGGAGCCCTTGCTCCTGGAGGGTCAGTGCAAGCTGAATTTGCTCAACTTGTCTCTGGATTTTTCTCTTTCCAACCTCCTACAGGTGCATAAGTTTTACCGGGGGAGTGGTGGGAGCTTCAGCAAAGCCCAGGAGGAGTGGACTACGGGGGCGTGGAAGAACCCCCACGTCCAGCAGGCAGCTCAGAGTGCAGCAATGGGGGCAGCCCAGGGGGCCATGATGCAGCATGAGACGCAGTACTCTGCCACCCCGAACTACACCTATTCCAACGAGATGTGAGCAGCAGGACTCTGTCCTCAGGGGAAGGATCGGGGGGTGAAGGGAGGAGGAAGATGGAGCCGAGTTTCTGCAGCTATTTCAGAAAGTCGGAGTGTACCATAACAGTTCTTTTCCCATTCTTTGTAACAAGATCGTTTTGGATTTTTTTTTCCCCTCCCTGTTATTGTCTTATCTCTTACTTTCTCTCTTATTTTTCATTTTGAAGAGGCTGTGAGTTGACCTGCAGGGCTCTTGTTGTGTGTGGTAGTAAGTGTATGTTCACGTGTCTTCTTTTTCCCTGTGAAATAGTGTAAGGTGGTGGTTTTTAATTACTGTGGTGATAGGTGTATGTTAGAACTACATCAGCCAAAAGCCCCCACCCCATGGAAGTGAAAGATAATAGCAACCAGCACCCATCTCCTCTCCTGAAATAAGCCCTGAACCACAGGTTTCCACTGTGTGTGTGAGTGTTCTTTCAGCTGGTAGTGTCCAGCCACTTGCCACTGTCTCAGCAAGGGCAAGCAGTCATGGGAATTCTCATTTTCTTTCGCTTTTTAACTAGCAGGTAGCTGGCTGATTCAGCACTTAATAAAAAAAAAGAAGGGGTGGGAAAGAATCCCAGCCCTAAATCCTGCTGTTGATATGCTGGAAGGCAAGAGATTCCTAAATCTACACCCTGGCTCAGGATCTACAGTTTCTCTCAGTGTGTGGTGTTGTAAATGAGTAGTTCACATTTTGACGTGGAAGACCAGTATTTGTGCGTGACTGTGGGCGGGAGCCCCGGCGCACTGTATGTATGTGTGCGTGTGTTGGGGAGCGAGGACAGGTTTTCCCTGCGGGATACAACCATCCCGTTCCAGATCCTGCATCCTTAGTGTGTTTTTTTTAAAAGGCTTCTATTTTGAAAAGCAGCTATAAAATTGGTAGAGCATTTCTCAGAGGACCTATTCTTGGGTAAGGCTCTGGGTCAAATCTTGCCACCCTGTATGCAAGCACATATAGCCTGTCTCACTGACTGTGTAAATGGTGAGGCCGAGATTTGTCCCTTTTTTGGGCTTTTGAGGTGTGCACTAATTTAAGGCTCTTTAGGAAACCTCCAGGCTGGCGGGAAGGATTCCCGCTCACTTGTCTTTCTAAAAAGTGCAGTGAAATATGGCCATATATTTTCCAGGTGTAAAGGTCCCTGCTCCTGTCAGTCCTGAATCCCTGCCCAGTTAGGGGAGGCTGGGCTTTAAATAATCATCTTGCACCTTAGTGGGAGGCAGCTGAGCTCAGACTATCACCTCTTGGCCTGTGGCAGGTGGGGAAGGTGACTGGCACATGCTGGAACAGATTGGTACATCAGTGGGAGCTGGTGGATGCTGCAGGGCACAGGACTAGGGAAAGCTCCTACTTGGCGATGCTTTTCAGACTCTAAATGCACTTTAAATAAGCCAAACTTTTCTCCAAGTTCTAGAAAAGCAGACCCAACAGAATCCAATCTGGCCCCTTGGCTCAAGTATCTCCTGCCTGCTGTAGGCAACGAGCTCACGCTGACAGCTGGCCAGGGCTGTGCGAGTCCCCAGCCCCTTGCACCCTGTCCTCCTAAAGCTGTCCGCTGATGTTTGTCTGTGACTCCTACCCACGAGAATCATCCCAAACAGGAACTTCTCTCTCCCAGAAAAGCCCACCAAGAATAGTTTCCTTTTTAAGGGCATCACTTCAGTCATTCTGCAGTAGGCAGTTGTTTCTTGAGAAAACTAAAATGCAGCTAATGATAAAATGCCTGTCTGTGTGTGTGTGTGTATATATATATGTATAAAATCTAAGGAGAAAAGTAATCCTTTGCTGATCCTATTATGTACTTAATCAGGTTTAAATATTGTGCAATTCATTTATAGCTAGCCTAAAACTTACTATGCCAAATCACATGCTCTGTCATCCATGTCTGAGAAATGATGGATTAAGTGACTTCACCTTTTGCATTTATAATAAGATGCATAAATAATAACTGTAACAAGCTGTAACTAACAGACATTGCTTCAGCATCTAACCCTCCTCTCGGGTATGTCTCCTGAACATGAGTGAGCGCTGACCGCTGAAATGTGCCTGTGGCTCCTGCCT